GCTCAGTCTAGGTTCTGCCAGGGTCACGCTGCTCCTGAGTTCATTACAGACTTGGCCAAAACATGGACAAAGAGATGAACTCAAGAGATAAGATGTAAGTAACTGCTTTGACATCAAGGCCAAATTTGAACTTCAATTGAACATTGCAAATTGAAAGCAATGTGAATCATAGGAAAACTTCACTGCTAGGTCATATCTCGCTCAAAGGAAGATGGTTGTGGTTGTTGTAGGTCAATCATCTACAAGACACAACTGCAGGAGTTCCTCAGGATGGTGTCCTAAGCTGAAGCATCTTCTACTGCTTCACCAATAACTTGCCCTCATTCACTGATGATTGCACAATGTTTAGCGCCCTCAGGTGTGCTCTTGAAGGAGTATGCAGCAAAACCTGGACAACATTCAGGCTTGAGCTGATAAGTGGCAAGTGACATTTGCATTACACTAGTGGCCATCCCCGATATAAGTGGTTCCCAATACTCCCCTTACATTTAACAGCATTACCATCATTTTGTCACCCACCATCACCATCTGAAGGTTACAATTGACCAGAAAATTAACTGGGCTAGCTATATAAATACAAAGGCAACAAGAGCAGATCAGAGGCTACAAATTCTGCAGTGACCAACTCGCCTGGCTACCCAAAGCCTGTCCACTATCTACAATGCACACGTCAGGAGTGTGATAGAATACCAACCTGGGTAAGTTCAGCTCCATATAGAACAAATCAGCCCACTTGATTGGCACTCCATTCACCACCTTAAAGTTTACCCTCTCCACCACTGACACACAGTGGCAGCTATGTGTACCACTCACAACTAATTAGAGGGTATCCTCATAGAGTCATACAGCACAGAAACAAAGTTTCCCAAACCAAACTAGTACCACTTGCCTCCATTTGGCCTATTTCCCTCCAAACCTTTCCTATCCATGTACCTGCCCAAATGTCTTTTAAATGCTGTAACTGAACTAGCATCTACCACTTCTGGCAATTCATTCCACACATGAACCACCCCCTGTGTGAAAAGGTTGTCCTACAAGACCCTTTTAAATGTTTCTCCTCTCACCTCAAAAATATGTCCCCTACTTTTGAATTCATCCACACTTGGGAAAAGACCTTTGTTATTCACCTTATGATTTCATAAACCACTATAAGATTACCCTTCAAACTCCTATTATCCATTGAAAAAAGTCCCAGCCTATCCAGTCTATCCTTATGAACTAAACACTCCAGTCCCAGCAACATCTTGGTAAATCTTTTCTGAACTCTCTCCAATTCAATAATATCCTTCCTATAGCAGAACTGTACACAATGGCTTCACCAACATCCTGTACAACCTGGACATGATGTCCCAACTCCTATACTCAACTGTCTGAGCAATGAAGGCAAACATACTAAATGCCCTCCTCACTACCCTGTCTACCTTTCAAAGAACTATGTACCTGAACCCCCTGGGTCTCTCTGATTGACAACGGTAACCAGGGCCCTACCTTTAACTGTATACATACTGCCCTTGTTTGTTTTACCAAAATGCAGTACCTTGCATTTATCCAAATTAAACTCCTCGGCCCATTGGCCCAAATGAACAAGATCCCTTTGTAATCCTCGATAATGTTCTTCACTGTTGACTATACCAGCAATTTTGGTATCATCCACAAAATTACTAACTGTGCCTTCTAAATTCTCATGCAAATCATTTATATAAATTACAAACAAAAGTGGAACCCAGCACCAATCCCTGTGGAACACGATTAGTCACAGGTCTCTAGCCCAAAACACAACCCTCCACTACTACCCTCTGTCTCCGACCATCAAGCCAACGTTGTATCCAATTGGTAAGCTCTCTCTGTATCACATGTGATCTAACTTTATTAATTAGTCTACCATGCAGAATGTTGTCAAAGCCTTTACTAAAGTCCATGGAGACAATATCTACCGCTCTGCCCTCAATCTTTTTTGTTACATCCTCAAAAAACTCAATCAAGTGTGCGAGACACCATTTCCCAGGCATAAAACCACGCTGACTATCCCTAAACAGTCCTTGCCTCTCCAATTGCACGTAGATCCTCTCTCTCAGAATCTCCCCCAACAACTTGCCCACCACTGATGTCAGACTCACAGATCTATAGTTCCCAGGTTTCTCCTTACAGCCTTTCTTAAATAAAGGCACAACATTAGCCACCCTCCAGTCCTCCAGTCCTTCACCCGGGCTGTAGATGATACAAATATCTCTCCTAGGGTCCCCGCAATTTCATCCCTAACTTCCCACCTCCTGGAATACACTTGATCAGGTCCCAGAGATTTATCCACCTTTATGCTTTTTAGGACCTCCAGCACTTCCTTTTCTGGACTGTTTTCAGGACAACAATATTTGTTTCCCCGAGTTCTGTAGACTCTATTTCTTTCTCCATGGTAAAACCTGATGCAAAATATTCATTTAGTATCTCTCCCATCTCCTGTGGTTCCATACATACACGGCCTCGTTGATCTTTAAGGGACCATTTTCTCTCCCCAGTTGGTCTTTTGCTCTTAATATGCTCGTAGAATCTCTTTAGATTATCCTTAACCTTCTCTGCCAAAACTATCTCATATCCCCTTTTTGCCCTCCTGAATTCCCTCTTAAGAATGCCCTCGTTCCTTCATACTCTTCAACAGATTCACTTGATCCTAATCGTCTACACCTAATATATGGCTCCTTCTCATTCTTGACCAGAGACTCAATATCTTTATTCATCCATTGTTCCTTACTCGTACCAACCTTATCCTTCACTCTAACAGTGCAGTGGTCACTCGTACTGATACTGTCATGGATAGATGCATGAGACGGGCAAATTGCTGAGGATGGGGTCAAGTATGTTTTTCCCTCTTGTTAGTTCGTCATCACCTGTCAAAGACCCAGTCTATCAGCTATGTCCTTTAGGATTAGACCAGCTTGATCAGTGGGAGTACTGCAGCTGAACAACTGTTGGTGGTGGACATTGAAATCCCCCAATCTGAGTACAGTTTCTGCCCTTACCACCCTCAGTGCATCCTCCAAGTGGTGTTCAACATCCTGACTTGAAAATATAATTCTTGTTCCTTCACTGATGATGGATTAAAAACCTGGGGAAACTACTTCATAACAACACAATTGGTTTAGTCCCAGTAGATAGATTTGAGAAGTTGCCTGGACAATTAACAATGTTGGCTTTGGCAGCACTGCTCACATTCCATAATGATTAACAAAAAAACCCCTCAAATCCTTGAATGTTCTGTAAATTCAGCTTCAGTTTTAAACAAAAAAAAGCTCAAAATAAAAATGTTATCAATAAAAGTCACGATTCAGCTCCTAGATTTTCCTCAAAATTCAGCTGGTTCAATAACATCCATCGGAGAAGCGATCTTGCTCCTGCAGAACCAGTCTGCCTTGTGAACCACTTTCTCATTCTGCTGTACCACCTTCAACAATTTGTGTAAGTATATACCTAGTCTGCTCTCCTTTTAGAATATTATCCTGTGTTTTATATGTTCTTCTTGTTAACATGTATCATTTCATAAATTCCATCTGCCACATATCGCCAATACCATCATCTTATCTGTCCTCTTGAAGTACCATTCCAGCTCTTGGTATTTCCAAGTTTTGCGTCATCCATACATTTTGAAATTGTCCCTTTCATACCCATAAATAAATAAACATCAAGTAAAAGTGCAGTGATTCTCTCCAACTCCTGGGAAATGCCACTGTGTATTTTTCTCCATGCTGAAGAATAACTGCTGACTACTAGTCTCTGTCCCCTGTCTCTCCTCCTTCTTTAAAGAGAAGATATTTCATGCTATTATCCACACTGCTACTATCCCTTCTATTCTGTGGGCCTCAACTTTGCTGACAAAGCTGTCCCATGATACTTTGTCATATGTCCTTGGACATTTATGTACACAAATCACCTGTATTGTCCTCATCAACCCTCCCTGCTACTTCATCAAAATATTCAATCACATTAGTTAAACATTGTGTTTAACATATCAATGCTGGATTTCCATAATTGATCCATAGTTGTTCAACTGATTGTTGATTTTTGTCCCAAATCATCACTTCTAAAAACTTTCCCATGACTGAGGTCAAATCAATTAGTTTACTAACATATCCTTACACTTGTTTTGAAAGTGGGGTATAACTTTTGCAAATCTTCAGTTCTCTGACACTAACCCTTTATGTGAGGAAGACTGGGAGTTTATTGAAGGTGCTTCCACAATTTCCATCATTATTTCCCTCAGCATCTCATCTAGTCCTGATGACTTAATCTTAATCTGCTCAGCCTTTTCAAAGCTTCCTCTGGATCAATTTTTAGTCCATCCAGAGTTTCAACTAGCTCCTCTTTCACTGTGACTTTGACAACATCTTCTTCCTTGAAACGGTAGATGCAAAGCATTCATTTAGGGCCTCAGCCATGTCCTCTGCCTCCATGTACAAATCCCTTAATTAGTAACTAATTAGCTTCACTTTTATTTTGTATTGCACTTTTACATGTTCACAAAAGTGTTTTTGGTTCTCTTTTACCTTAACTGCTAGTCTCTTCTCATTCTCTCCCTCTCCTTCTCTTATTCAGTTTTTCATTTCTCCATTAATTTTCTATATTGAACCTGGTTATCACTTGTATTATCAAAGTGACATTTGTAATGCACAGCCTTTTTCTACTTCATCCTACTTTATATCTTTCATCATCCAAGGAGCTCACATCATACTTTTATCCCTCATGGGAAGGAACTTCAATTGTACCTGAACTACCTTCTCTTTGGAAGCTGTCCATTGTCTATATCAGTTTGGTTGACTAATCTTGATTTGAATTTATCCAACCCAGGTCCTTTCCCCACACCAATTAAATAGCCCTCCTTCAGTTAATTACTTTCACTCTGAATTCCTTGTCTTTTTTCAAAGCTAACCTAAACTGGATATGGCACTTGCATTTAATTAGCTAGATGGTAGTTTAAGATTTATTACATAAAATAAAAGAAGCAAACTTACAGCTCAAAAATATCCTGGAATATGTCCTTAAACCGTCCATCATAAGCCTTCATAATAGTGTTTTTGGTGCTCATATAGAGGGGCCATTTCTTACTTAGGGCATACTGAAAGCAGCTGTGTGCAAATCCTGTAATAGACTACACATTAAATAAAAGAAACAAGTCAAAGACTATTCACAGAAATGGATTACAAAAATTTTCTGAAAAGGATACAAAAGCTTTTGGTTCAATGGTGAATTTCCCATGGGTTCTAAACTGATACTTGGGGTTGAATTGAATGATCACGGTGTTGGGCTGAAAACCTAGTGGATACCCTACTGTGATCATTGCGGATCCCCACCACAACCTGAGTTAGTACCAATGGAGCACTTAGCTGCTGGCTGTTTGGATCCTTAATTTGTCCAAGAGCTTCCAGTCAGAGACCAGAACCTCTCCAATACTGGCAGTGCCAATGCCCAGGCTTCAGGGTCGGCATTGGAATTGGAGTGGTGGTGGGTGATGTGGGATAACCCGTTGTCAAGGTGATATAGTGGTGATGGAGGGGTGGATTCGATTTAAAGGACAACTTTGAGTCTTCTTGTATGTGCAGTATTGCCACTGGTGGGACTGTTTGATAGGCATGGTCTGCCAAATTAGGAGGGACCATCCCCCGCCAAAGCACAAGGCTGCCAGGCTTTACCTGATAGGTTTCCCACATGGTGTAGCTCCTGCCTGTCGCTGATAGAATACTTAAACACTAGAGTGTCTAAAAACTGTCCAGATTCCATTCCACATGGAAACTGTTCTGTTCATTACGGGAGTAAAAATGATTTCCATTGACTGCACTGGACACAAACCCAAATCTGAGTTAGAGATAAGAATGTGAGATAACCCATTAATTCAACTAGTTGTAAACTGGATGCCTGTAATTTTAAAACCGTAAATATTTCAATAACATTTTATCCACCAATTGTTGATTATAGTGTTAACAACAGACTTGAAAGAAGGATGATTCTTTAAAATAGCTCCTTCAATAGTTAACAGCGAAAACAGGTCTAAAATATGCTATTCCCATTTGTGACATTGTGAGGAATGAAAGTATATCCTCGTTTTGTGAATTACAAAAAAAAAATCATGCTACATAAAACAAATTAACAGAAAATGTTTTGAACATGGGGAAACAAAACACAGTGTAAAGTTTCAAATGTTCACAAATATTACTAAATAACTAACAAGTCATTGTCTGGGAAAGATAGATAACTGAAGCAGAGCTAAATTCAGAAAGCCATGAGCATCTTACCTCATCTGTATTGAACATTCCCATTCCTACTCCTCCACCAGGGAAGTCAAACACATTCCATTCCAGGGATTTGCTCCCATCCTCGGGCACGAAGACAAGTTTAAAGTTACCCGGCTGGTCCATGACAAAATCTATGGCTCGATACTAGAATGCAAATAATTGTTACAACTTAGAAATACACATTTTAAACAAAAACAGAGTATAAAAGACATTTCAACTTAATGTTATATGCTTGAGTGCCGGGTCTGCTCTGCCTGTTGTCTCTAAATCAGATTAAGTTAATTTTCCTTTCTTATAACAGCATTTATAAGTCCTTTATTTTATCAGTTATTTATTTGTTGTGTCTAAGTGGTGATGTCCTCTACTACTGTCTGGAGGTTCTTATAAATTGTTTTGCTACTGAAGAGAAAATCCCATTTTAATATGGAAATACAGAAGCAGTATACCACCTTTTGTAATATGTTCCTTTAAAATGAGAACAAAGTAGATTCATGTAAAATCTAATGTTCTTTATAGGCAAAAATATGCCTTCACCAAAATCATATGGAGCACGCAAGGTATTACATTAAACAATGCTAGAAATTTCAATATTATCTCATCATCAAACATCATTTTATTTTCTGTATATTGTGAAAAGTGGAAGTCAGCTTTTAGCTCCTGCTCACCTCCTTTCAGAAGCCAAAGTTTTGGCTGAACACTACGAATTACATAACCTTTTCATCACAAAGGCTGCTATTGCCATACCTTAAGACCATAAGACATGGGAGCCAAAGTAGGCTTTTCAGCCCATTGAGTCTGCTCCGCCATTCAATGAGGTCATAACTGACCTAACAATCCTCAACTTCACTTTCCTGCCTTTTCCCTATAACCCTTGATTCCCTTACTGATTAAAAATCTATCTCAGCCTTGACCATGCTTAAAAACCCAACTTCAACAATCCTCCTGGTAAAGAACTCCACAGATTAATTATCCTCTGAGAAGAAATTCCTCCTCATCTCTGCCTTAAATATGCAACCCTTTACTCTATGCTCTCCGCTCCTAGACCATCCTACAAGGGGAAACAACCTTTCCGCATTTACCTTGTCAAGTCCCCCAAGAATATCGTATGTTTCAACAAGGCCCAATCCCATTCCTCTAAATTCTAATGGGTACAAATCCAATCTACTCAACCTCTCTTCATAATACGGTTCCTCCATACTTGGTATCAGCCTCTAATCTGCCCATCTGTACTTCTAAGCTGAAACCACCTGCTCATCAAACCATCATTCACAGTCTTTTCACCTTTCCACACAATTACTTCAATGCCCCCAAAAGCAGCCTTCTATCCTGAATCACCGAACATTTGCTCCTCGTGTTTTATCATGCACCAGATCTCCTTATCCATCATTACTGCCTGCATTGAGCTTGATACGATATTCCTCAAGAAGACAGTTATCCGGAGTTCAGAAAGTTCTCAACTCTGCAATCCCATCTTCGCTAAAGAGGCTTTGTCGCCCAATTTGTATCAGGGAGACCTTATGGAGTCAGGCAGATGGCAGGCTAGAAGGAATGTTTACTGGGACACAGTCCAGATGGAATCACAATTGTTAGGCCCTCATGCCCTCACCACAAACACCATTCATCAGAAATGTGAACTCGTTCTTGCCCCACTTACGTCCTGATAAGATGGATACTTCCAGCATGTTGTTCTAACTTCAGATTTCTAGTGGCTGCATGTTTCATATTAGCTTTAAGTGTACCAGGTTTCCTTCCCTAAAGATCATAAAATGTGTCAGGATTTCAGTCAATCCAAAAGCCTCAAGCTCTCTTTTAGTTTCAACAGCTTTTCATTCCAGATTTGTATTGTAAACTGTAAGGTCCCACAGACAGCAAATGGGATGACTTAGCAGTTAGTTGAGGGATACATATTGACCTGGACACTGGAGGATTTCCCTGCACTACCCGAGAAGGCAGCTGGAACCTATGTTTAAATATCTTAACCAAAAGAAAATAAATCAGACATTACAACACTGTGTCAGTACTACACTGAAGTAACAGCCTTATTTTACTGCCTTGCTTATGGAACTGGTCTGCAGTGTAAACAAAGGAACCTGTAATAGTGCAGAAGGTTCAGTGTCTTTGAAATTCCCTTCCTCAAAAGGCAGTGATGCAAAATATTTAAACATTTTTAAAGCAAAAGATAGATAGATTCTTTATGTACCAAGGGAATGACAGATTTTTGGGGATATGTAGAGTTGAGGTTAAAATCAGATCAACCATCATATTATTGAATGGCAGTGCAGCTCAAAGGGCCCTGTGGCCTATTCTTGTTCATTGTTTGTATACTGAATACATTGAGCTACTTTTATAATAATCTGAACATTGAAAGTTATCAATTATAAAGCAACATCTTTGTAATAGGCTATAAATATAATGACAGCCTTACCTGATCTCCATATGCATGTCGGCCTATTGTGATTGGCTTCACCCAACCGGGAACAAGTCGTGGGATGTTTTTGCAAATAATTGGATCTCGAAAAACTGTGCCGCCTAAAATATTTCGGATAGTTCCATTTGGACTTTTCCACATCTTTTTCAGTCCAAATTCTGAAAAATTATCAATTGGGCTTTTGTCAATATTACCACTGCAAGAAACTAGATTGAATATTCTACTTAATTCTGCTAGAGAGGAAGCTAGTGATGTAAAAACAGAAGCAAGAGTGACTAAAGATATCTTAAAAGGAAAAGAGTACATAAAGTGTTGGTTCTCGAGAGGGTGAGAATGGGTATTAATAGTATTAAAGAAATTGTGGATGTAACAAGTAAATATTTTGTTTGTCTTCACTGAAAACTACACAAAAATATCCCAGTAATACCTATAATATAGAAGGTTGAAGGAACAATGAATTGGTGAAATTACAATCACTAGGAATGTGTTTCTGAACAAACTGATAGAGCTGTGGGTTAAAAAGTCTGCGGGTCCTCATCGTAGGACCTTTAAAGAGGTGGCTAATGAGAAGATCAAAACATTGGGAGCTATATTTCCAAAATTCATTCAATTCTGGAAAAGTTCTATTGCCCTGGAAAGTGGCGAATACACGCCCTGTACTAAAGAAGGGAAGGATGCTGGAAACAGGAAACTACAGGCCACTTAGCTTGGTATCTGTCATGGGAATGGTGTTAGATGTGATAATTAAGAAGGTTATCACTCAGCACTTGGAAAAGCTTGAGGTAACTCAAGAGAAGAGTTAGCATGGTTCTGTGAAAGGGAGAATCGTGTTTAATGGAATTGGAATTAATTGGAATTCTTCGAAGGAGTAGTCCAATTCCTAAGATGCCAGGGCTGTTGTACGAAGAGAGACTGGATCGGTTAGGACCATATCCACTTGAGTTTAGAAGAATGAAGGGGGTTGTCAGAGAAACTTTCCTAAAATTCTAACAGGACCAGACAGAGTAAACACAAGAAGGATGTTCCCGATGACTGAGGAACCCGAACTGGGGGTCATGTCTAAGGACCTGGGGTAGACCATTTAGGACTGAGATGAGGAGAAATTTCTTCACCCTGAGAGCGGTGAGCCTGTGGAATTCTCTGCCGCAGAAAGCAGTTGAGGCCAAAACATTGAATGTTAGATATAGTTCTTAGGGCTAAAAGAATCCAAGAGTATGGGGAGAAAGCAGGGATAGGGTATTGAGTTGGATGATCAGCCACAATCAGATTAAATAGTGGAGCAGGCTTGAAGAGCTGTATTGTCTATGCCTGCTCCTATTTGCAACGTCAATGGTTCCTGCGAGTAACATAGAATAGGTGTCCACTGAACTTGGATTTCCAGAAAACAAGCTTTCATGGAAAGGCTGTTGCACACAGTGTAGTGTAGTTGCTAACATATTTGCGGGCACAGATGATTGGATGGCTGGATGAGAACAGAGAGCACGCATAAATGGGTCTTTTCAGCAGTTGACAAGGGGATTCAGCTGTTCGCAACAAGCAAATTACTGGACACTCAACTGACCCGTGCTTGCAACATGGTATCCAACATTAGATGGGTTTCTGCAATTGGACAACTTTTGCTGGATAATCCTGAGTGAGCAACGAATTACCTGAATCAATTCAGGATTGTCAGTTGGGCTTACAACGTGGTACACCTGCATATACTGAAAGCTGGAAATATTAATACAAAAGGCCCTTTTCTTTGCAGGCAGAAAGAACAGCTGATTAATTGTCATTAATTGTTGCATTCACCAAGACAATGCTTCTGCCAATCAGACTCCAATTGCCAACCAATCAGCAGTCTCCTCTCATGCAACATATAAGAGTTTTCCCCTTGAATTAGTACTTTTGCAAATTATCCTGTAGAGTGCAAGATAAAAAGCTTCAACAAAACATATCGTTTTTACAGAATGGGCCAACGGTTCTGTTTTCATACTGTATGACCCTATGACTTAAACAGTCAAGTTCACTATGACCAAGTGACCAGTTACATCAATTACTTGGATAAAGACATCAAAGGCATGGTGACTCAATTTGCAGATGATACAAAGATAGGTAAGTATGTGGTGGAGATGGCAGAACAAGGATTCAGATAGGTTAAGTAAATAGGTAAAAATCTGGCAGATGGAGTACATATGTAGTTGTTCACTTTGGAAGAAAAAATGCTAAGAATTATTTAAATGGAGAATGATTGCAGAATTCAGAGGAGCAGGGTGATCAACATATTCTAGTGCATGAGGCACAAAAAATTAACATGCAGGTAAAGCAAGAAATTAAAAAGGCTAATGGAATGCTATTCTTTATAAGCAATGAATCGAACATAAGAGAAATGACATCATGCTTCAGTTATACAGGGTACTGGTGAGTCCACATCTACTATCCTGTGTGCAGTTTTCATAGAGTCATACAGCACAGAAACAGATCCTTCAGTCCAACCAGTCCATGCCAACATAATTCCAAAATAAACTAGTCCCACCTGCCTGCTCCTGGCCCATATCCCTCCAAACCTTTCCTATTTGTGTACCTATCCAAATGTTTTTTAACGTTGTAATTGTACGCACTTCCACCACTTCCACGGGAAGTTCATACCACACGTGAACCACCCTCTGTGTAAAAAAAATCTCCCTCTTTTATGTCTTTTTAAATCTCTCTTCTCTCACCTTAAAAATGTGCCCCTTAGTCTTGAAATCCCCCATGCTAGGGGGAAGACAACTATCATTAACTCTATCTATACCTCTCATTATTTTATAAACTTCTATCAGGTTGCCTCTCAACCCCCTATGCTCCAGTGAAAAAGTCCCAGCCTATCCAGCCTTTCTTCATCTCCTTATTTACGGAAGGATGTAAATACATTGGAGGCAGTTCAGAGAAGATTTGCCTGGAATGAGGTGGGTAGTCTTATGAGAAAAGATTGAACAGACTGGGCTTGTTTTCACTGGAGTCTAGGACAGCAAAGGGTGATTTAATTGAAGTATATAAGATCCTGAATGGTCTTGACAAGATGGATGTGGAAAGGATATTCATCCTTATGGGTGAGTGCAGAAAAAAGGGGATACTGTTTTAAAATTTGTTGTTGCCCTTTTGGGATTGAGGGGAGAGAGCTCTCTTAGAGGGTTGTGCAGCTTTCAAAATCTCTACCTCTGGAAGTGACAGGGTGGGTTCTTTCAATATTTTTAAGACAGGGATGGATAAATTCTAGTTAGTCAAGTGGATCCAAGGTAAGCGGGGACAGGTATGAATGTGGAATACAGAGCACAAACAGATCAGTCATGATCTTGTTGAAGGGCTGAGTAGCTGACTTCTGCTCCAAACTTATGTTTGTACGTTAAGACTGCATGAAGAGTACTGTCATTTCTGGAAACAGTGAAACTTTCACAGATAATAGGTTTCTTGCTCTTGGATCAGTATGTCCTTCACCTTCATTCTTTAACAGTAAGTTCACCAGCACCACCAGGTGGCAGTTTGCTAAAAATGTAAAGTTACAAGCGTGCTGAGATGATGTTGCACATGCTGGCTTTACTGCACAAAACAGAAGAAGATATTTTAAACTGTTTTTAAGCAGTAAATTTGCTATCATTATTTTCTCAATGATTTCCTGGTCTTTCTACCAATTTGAGACCAACTGCCTATTTCTCCTTGTATATACCAAGGCTAATCCCTTTATATACTGAATGGTGACAGCAAGAGACATGACTAAATTGGGTCACATTATCCAATGTCTTCAGGGTATCATTGAATTAAACATTGAGTCATTAGTTTAAAGTGATTTCGTTCTGAAGTAAAACTGATCACAACACCACTTATAAACTGATTAATATTTTAAAAATTCTCTTGTACTAGTGTTAATCACATCAAGTGTTGTGGGAAATGTATGGCATATGTTCTATTTTAGACTGACAGTTTAAACAGAGAAACCAGGCAGAATATTAAATTCAAATGATACCCATCCGCACAGATGAGCCCCATTACACACAGCTTAACCAAATTATTTTTAAATCTTATCTTCACATATCAGCTGCTCCTAATTATTTTTGTCTACAATTGTTGTTTTTACATTCTTTCAACATCTGACCTTTTGTTCTCTCATCGCTCATCTCCCCCTAGTTTTGTCCCACTGACTAGACCTTTTTATCAGTTTCTATCTTGCCATCTGTTTAAATTTCTCTTGAAGAGAGACCTCTGACACAAAACAAATCACAATGTCTTTAAAGTAATGTAATTTAAACGTGTAGTTCTGCCTTCATTCCAGTTAAATTAAAAGGGTGGCATGGTGGCTCATTGGTTAGCTCTGCTGCCTCACAGTGCTCGGGACCCAAGTTTGACTCCATCCTACGGCAACTGTCTATAGCTGCATGGGTTTCCTCCGGGTGCTCTGGTTTCCTCCCACAGTCCAAAGGTGTGCAGGTTAAGTGGATTGGCCATGTTAAATTACCTATAGTGTCCAGGGAAGTGCAGATTAGGTGGGTTAGCCATGGGAAATGCAGGGTTACAGGGACAGTTTAAGGTTCTAAAGTAGATTTGTAGCTCGGGTTGTGGATGCTGTGGTCGGTTGGCTCGCTGAGCTGGTTCGTTAGTTCGCAGACGTTTTGTTATCCTGCTGGGTAACATCATCAGTGTAGCCTCCAATGAAGCACTGTTGTGTTTTCCCGCCTGGTATTTAAACTCTGGGGTCTGTTGGAATTGGTTACCTCATTTCTGGTTTCTCTTCGCAGTGGTGTATATATAGGGTCTAGTTCTACGTGTTCATTGATGGCCTTCTTGGTGGAGAACCAGGCCTCTAGGAATTCCAGTGCTTGTCTCTATTTGGCCTGTCCTAGGATCCTGGTGATGTCCCAATCGAACTGGTGGTTCTACTTAATTGTGTGTGTGAATGGAGATGAGTGAGTACTGATCGTGTCTTTTTGTTGCTGGTTGGTGTTCATGTATTCTTGTGGCCAGTTTCCTACCAATGTAGTGTTTGTTGCAGTCTTTGCATGGAATCTTGTATATCACGTTGGTTCTGTCCATAGTGAGCAAGGGGTCTTTGGTTCGAGTTAGCAGTTCGCATAGGGCTGATGTAGGTTTGTGTACCACTCTGATGCCCAATGGTCGTAGGAGTCTTGTGGTTAGTTCGGATATGTTCTTGATGTATGATAACGTGAAAAATGAAACCTGAAGGGACAAACACTCCCCGATTCTACAGCCTCCCAAAGGTGCCCAAACCAGAAGTACCCCTCAGACCCATAGTCTCTCTTCCAGGTACACCAACACATAGGTAAGACAAGGAGTTAGAACGAAGACTAAAGCACCTCGTCAGCAAGTCACCCCACTTAATCCACTCAGCCCAGGAGTTCCTCAAAAATCTCAAAGACATAAGAATAGACGATGTCGAGACCATGGTGTCCATTGACATTACCGCCCTATTCAAATCAATTTTAGATTCTGCTTTTAACATGGATCAAAAATTAATATTTGTTTGTCTTCCCATATAATGACAAACTAAATAACTATCCATTTTCAAAAAAGTAATTTTTAGTCAAATAAATCGAAATTGGGTACAAAAATGCACACATAAACTGTTCTGGTTTGAATTTTGACAGTAAAACTTTGGTGAGCTAGTAATTCTGATTGTGTAATCTCTACAGATTAGTCTTCAAATGAATAGATGTCAATCATGTACCTTCCACTCGAGCTTCATCTGGTGTAATGGTGGCACATTTCACTGCGACTCCATATTTTTGTGTTGCCAATGCAGACTCAATGGTCACCCGGTCAGCTGTTTTATCTCGATTTGGGAGACCGAGATCAAAATATTTCAACTCCACACTAACATTAGGTAGAATAAGCTGCAAAATAAAAAAAAAAAATCAACATCAGTGCACCCTGCGAGAGAAATATTGAGAACCCACACTGTGATATGCAACTTCATGCATTGAACAGATTTTCAAGGAAAATACATGTGTCAATGGTCTGGCACAAAAGAATTTATATTTCATGTGATGTCTGATGATTATGATAGGCCTCATATAAAATGGCATCTTTCAGCTCCATCTCTGAGAGAATTGCTTTATTTGTGTGGCAATGAAGCTTGATTTGTGTAACCAGTTAGATCTAAGCATGCTGTGTATAGAAATAGATTGATTGACCTAGAGGTTAGTCATGATAGTAGAGCTGTGAATGTTAATTAGATTATAAGTGGGCAAAACATTAGCACAAAAGATTGGAATAACATGGAAACAGCTGTACATCATACGCATTAGACTGTACCATTGTACCTTTAATTAATGATGATCAACCATAAGACTTCAGGGACTAGTACTTAAAAACAGACAAAAAGAGAATGTTCTAACATCTTTACTTATGATTAGATTTCCTATTGTTGTACAATCAACATAAAACATACATCAAAGTCCCACAGATGACTGCTTCAATGAAAATCCCACTGCTATTAAATTGTGCAAGAGATCCATTCTAAACACTTTAAACCCTTTCTAGACCGATATTATAATAGATGTTCATTTACAGCTTCAATGTATTACTCAACCTGTAAATAATCCTCAGGTTTAGCCTGTAGGCATTACCCATTTCACAGGGAAAGGCAAATTTGATGGGCATTCATTGACATCTCCAGTAAACCATTAACTTGCAATTCTACACAAGGATAGATTTCCAATCAGAAAATGATGTCTACATGAGCAAACATTTTTTGTTGACTTGTACACAGGACAAAATTTTGGAAGAAGGTTTAACTGAACATGTTCCATTCAAATTTTCCTCCGATCCCAAGCTGAAACAGTTGGGCAAGAACATTTCAATATCTCCCCAAAGGGAGTCAACATCTCAAGAGGAGCTCAGTCTTATCAATACCTCACAAGTCCCATGATCATTTCAGAGATAGTAGGAACTGCAGATGCTGGCGAATCTGAGATAACAAAGTGTAGAGCTGGATGAACACAGCAGGCCAAGCAGCATCAGAGGAGCAGGCCC